AAAATAATTGAATTTCTGCAATCATTTGTAATTTCTCTAAAACATAAAATTCAAAATGTCTCCAAAAAACCCTCGATTAATAAGTTTCAAGCAAAGCCGAGTAATTTCTAACTTCTCTGTCCGCCACATTGAATCCGACATTTTGAATTTTTAAAAATGAACTTCAGATTTGTAAATAGTGACCTCGAAACCTCCGAATAACAAATTTCAAGCAAATCCTATTTATTTCTTCATTTTTTTCGTCAGTTTGTTTCCACCATTTTTAAATTTGACGAATTAGGGTAAATCTAGCAAGCAATGGATTCGAACTCAGCGTAAAAAATACGTTAAATTAAATATAAATTAAGTTAATTAAACTTAATATATGAAATTCATTGCTATCTAATCAATATAATTATTTACATATAAAATAAACAATAAATTATAAATTTTTTCTATCATATTAATTACAATTATGATTTATGAAAAATAAAATTCAACTATGAATAGAATTATTTGTATATATATATATATAGCAAATGAAGATAATGAGGTATTAGAACTTTGATTAATTACTTAATCTAATGTATTTATCTAAATGATCCAATAAACATAATAACTTTCTATATTAGTGAAATTGAAAGTAAAGTGATTGTTGAGTTCAAATTCAAGTTTACTTAAAAATTTTATATTCATATAAATAAATTTATAATGAGATTTTCCTTGCGATGCTTCGTTGGATTTTATATTAGTTAAGCTATTTCACACCCACTTTAAATATTTAAGTTGTACAATAAAATTCATAAATTTGCATAGTACATTTTTTCAACATAATATCGAATATAACAAAATTTGTAAAATATTTAAAAAGAAAATACTTTTTAATTTTCTCAAGAAGATTAAAATCGCTCATATTTTAATAATTATAAAATAATTACTTTTTTTTAAATACTTTGTATAAAGGGCCTGTCTCGTTTATTTTCTCTTTTTTTTTATTTTGTTTTTTAATATTCTAATAATTATAAAATAAGTAATTTCTTTTTAATACTTTGTATGAATAAAGGGTCTGTCTCGTTTATTTTCGTATATAAATAAATAAATAAATAAATAAATAAATAAATAAATAAATAAATAAATAAATAAATAAATAAATAAATAAATAAATAAATAAATAAATAAATAAATAAATAAATAAATAAATAAATAAATAAATAAATAAATAAATAAATAAATAAATAAATAAATAAATAAATAAATAAATAAATAAATAAATAAATAAATAAATAAATAAATAAATAAATAAATAAATAAATAAATAAATAAATAAATAAATAAATAAATAAATAAATAAATAAATAAATAAATAAATAAATAAATAAATAAATAAATAAATAAATAAATAAATAAATAAATAAATAAATAAATAAATAAATAAATAAATAAATAAATAAATAAATAAATAAAAAAATAAATAAATAAATAATTAAATAAATAAATAAATAATAATGTTTTTAATAATATTAAAATTAATTAAAAAATAATAAATAAAACAATACTAATAATGAATTACAATTACCATAATAGTTGAATTATAGAAAAAAATATAATTTTTTCCCCACTGGAAATAAAGATAGAAATTGCACGTGCGGAAGTTGTTATTACAATCGAAGAGTTGTAATAGACGGTGATTATAACGAAATCAATAATTTACACTCTGCCGCCCAACTATTTTGGCAAAACTCTTTGTCTTGTACTTTGGAGTAAAGTTTAAATTACTCACACGATTCTTTGTTTGTCCTTGTCCCAATTTCGTATAAAACTTCCCTTTCGTAAATAATGAGGATCATTAGAATTATTATTGCAGTGATATTTTATTTTTATTATTTATTATTATTTTTTTTTTTTTGTAAAGTAAAAAGAAACTGGTGTCAATTATAAAAATGTAAAAAAGAAAGAGAAAAAAGATGACATGTGTATATATGGAAGAGTACGATAGAGTGTGTAAAGAGAAAGGAAATTAATACACACACAATATAATGTGAAAATTATTATACTGGACATAATGAATTTATTTTGACATGAAGGTTTTGAATCTGAGGATACAATATCCTGTTGCAAGTGCAAGGTTGAGTTTACGGTATGCGGTTATGGGATTCCTCGAATGTGAGTATATCTTGTATGGCCTTGCACTTTAATGATAATCTCATTGAAGATACGGAAAAGTCATATATTATATAAATAGCGTAATTTATATTATGAGCCGCACAGGTTATTAATTTTGCGAAAATTTATTCCCGTTATTTGTTATATTATTAATTTTTTATTTCGTAATATTCATTTTATTATTTATTTCGATGTTCGTAAATTAATATAAACAGGGTTGACACAACAATTTAATTTTGCTTCTCCCTGATTTTCAGGCAAAATTTTGATTTTTTCCTTGACACTGAGGAATATTCTGATTCACTCTGATTATTATATTCAAAAAATACTCAAAAAAATGCTTTATTAGGTACATTTATTTACGAATTTCTTCAATTGTAAAATTATTCTAATTGTAAAATATCAATAACTTTATTATTAATAATGAAATTAATAATAAAATAATAAAATATTTATTTTTAAATAAATATTTTATTATTATTTTGCCATAGGACAAAAGATTTTCAAAAATTTCAAATTCAAATTTTTTATAATTCAATAACTCATAAGAATATTATTACAAAACATGAAGATGACCCAGTAATAAAATCATTATTTTATATTATAAAAATATTGTTACTGCAACTTCTTCAAAATTATTTTCATCACTTTCAATTCAATTATTTTTTTCTAGAATTTTTAACTAAAATTGTTCTTTAAATCAATTATTTTTAATAATTTTTGGAAAAGTTCTTTGAGAATTTTCAAATCCCTTTGTTTACAATTCAATTTTACGAAATTTTCATTATTAGGAAATTCTTCAATTAAATATATTTTACATAATAAAAACTTCAAGGAATTTAAAAAAAAAATTCAATTAAACTTTATCAAAAAAATTAATTCTACAGAATTGTTAAAGTTACAAATACGAAAAACTTCAAATTCAATTATTTCTAAAAATTTACGCTTTAATGCTTTTAAAATTCAATTATAATATAAAATTTTAACTGAAATCCTTTTTTAAATGAATGTTTATGAGAAAATTCTTTTAGAATTCAATAATTTAAATACAAAAATAACAATTTATTGAATAATTGAATGTTTCTTTTAATTGAATTCTCATAAAGAATTTCATCAACAAATTTTTAAATAATTGAATTCTTTCGACGTATTTTAGTAGCATTTTTACAAATAATAAAAATAATTGAAAATAATTGATTTTAATAAAAGAATTTTTATAAAAGTAATTGAATTCCTGTAAAAAAAGTTAGTATTTATGACAATAATTCAATTATGGCGAAGAATTTATGAAAAAAATTTGTAAATAATTGAATTCCTGTGAAATTTTTATTATTTATGTAAATAATTGAATTCTTCTAGAAAATTTTATTAAAATATAGGTATTGAAAATCATTGAATTCAGGAAAATTTTGAAAATAATTGAATTTCTGCAATTGTTTATAATTGCACAAATAATTGAATTTCTGCAATTATTTATCATTCAAAAATTCAATTATTTCTGCAATTATAAACAGTTACAGAAATTTTTTAATACCTTTGTATTACAAGAATATATTGTTACTGTAAATTCTTAAAAATTATTTTCATCATTACAATTTACATAATTATTTTTTTCTAGAATTTTGAAGTAAAATTCTTCTTTAAATCAATTATTTTAAATAATTTTTGAAAAAGTTCTTTGAGAATTTTGAAATCCATTTGTTTATAAATAGATAATTTATTAAATAATTGAATATTTCTTTAAATTGAACTCTTATAAAGAACTTTATCGAAAAATTTTTAAAATAACTGGAATTTATTTTAAATTGTTTTAAAAATAATTGAAATCCTGAAATGAGTTTTATTATTTATGAAAATAATTGAATTCTTGCAACGAATTTTATTAAAATTCTTAAAAATAATTGAATTTCTGTGAAAATTTTATTATTTATGAAAATAATAAATTGAATTATTGCGAAGAAATTAATAAAAAATTTGTAAATAATTGAATTCCTGTGAAATTTAATTATTATTTACGTAAATAATTGAATTCTTTTGGAAATTTTTATTAAAGTAGTAGGTATTGAAAATCATTGAATTGAGGAAATTTTTGTAAATAGTTGAAATTTTGCCATAAGAATTTTGTTACTTTTGAAAATGATTGAATTATTTTCAAAAGTAAATTTTTTATTAATTTCTTTTGCAAATATTTATAACTTCTCCAAAATTCAATTTTTTTTAGTGTTTTTAACAAAATTTCTTTAGTACCTAAATCCATTATTTTTAATAGAATTTTATTTTTTGATGTTTCAATATTCAATTGCTTTAGACTTTTTACACCCTTAGAATAGATAGATATTATTAAATTGAATTATATTAAAGTATTTAAAAATTTTTTAGGTAAAGTAAACTAATCTTTCTACTTTTTAAGGAGTATTATAATTTTTTCAATTTAAATTTTATAATTTATGAATTACTTTTCAATTATTTATTTATAAATAATCCTATAAGTAAATGTAGTTAGAAATCTTATTTAAACTTGAAATTTGATGAAAATTAATAATTTTTATTGTTCATTATTATAAATTAAATTCATAAATAAATAAATTGTTCTATTGAATTATTTTTTTTATTTATTTGCTAATAATTATATGAGTAAATGAACTAAGAAAACTTATTTAACATGGAAATTTGTAGAAGAAAAAAAGTAGAAGAAAGAGAAGAAGAAAAAGAAGAAAAATAATGTTCGACTTTCTGGCGTAAAAGCATTGAAAGACTTATAAATTTGTTCAGGCTTGGTAATCGATTCATTAAAAATAAATTAAAAAAGTAAAATAGAATGTACAAAAGAAAGAAATAATTTGCGAATAAATTCTTACCGGAATCAGGTAGATTCTGAATATCGTGACCTTGATGAACTAAAACTGTACAACTGCAGATAACATCTTCCAATCGTTGTATGTTGTAACTTTCAGTGTAACAGAGAATTTCCTTGCCGGGCGAAGTTCTCTGCCTCGGACATTCTGCAATATTTAAAAAAAATTATAAACTGAAGAACATTTCTCGACAGTTTTTTCTTTTTATTTTTCCAATCATTTTTTATATTCCATACACCAAGAGAAAAATTTTGTTTTAAACCAAATTTAATTTATTTAAGTTAAATAAAAGTGTATTTGACTCAGAGCCTACTAAATTATTTATTTGTTTTAAATACAAATTTTATTCGTCACAAATAAAACTTTTATTTGAACCAAATAGAATTTATTTGAAGCAAATAAAAAGTCTAGTTGGCTCTGAGTTAAATATATCTTTTTTTTACGTGTAGTAATTAATAAAAAATTAATTTAATTATACAAAAATTAAATAACTCGCTAAATCTGAATTAGTAAAAATTTGTAACCATTTTGTTTAGAAGTTGTAATTTTCTTTTTAATAAAGTTTTATAATGAAAAATGACTAAAAAATTAATAAAAAGCACTACTAATGTGAATTAGTTGCTCAATCTTCACTAATTCGTATTTAAAGAGAGCAATACAATAAATATACAAAATGAATTAAATTAAATATAAAAATTAGATATCAATAGAATAAAATTGATACATTTGTGAAATGGAAAAATTATCTTCTTCTATTTGTAATTTACAGAGAACCGGTTAGAAATATAGTGGAGAATCTTTTTCTAATTAGCATACTCGACCTGATTACAATGTGTATTATATTGATTAAATATTGATAAAAAAAATTTTATAGAAATAAATGGACTTCAAGTAAAACTGACTTGTCCCTTTCTCATCCAAGAAATGACAGATAAAATAAAATTTATAATTGTAATAAAACAAAAAAAAAACTGCGAATGTAAAAAAAAAATAATAATAATAATAAATGATTATAACCAGGCTTATTATATCCCACAAATGAAGTTGACTCAAATGACAACATTTTCTGTGATGTGCAAGCAAATGAATTTAATTTCAACAATAAAATCTTTCGCACAATTTCTCTCCACTAAAAAAAAATATAAGTTTAATTTTATTTTCTTAAAAAAAATTCCCTCTGTTTCATTTAATTGTACGAATTTTAAAATGTTGGTAAAAATGAAATTTTTGTGCAAAATTTAGAACACAATTTCGAAAAATCATAATTTTTTACCAAAATGTAAATTAATTTAATAAAAAAAATAGATAATTAAATAAAAAGTAGTAAGAATAAAATAAACACTCAGAGAAATGTTTTATTTAAACCAAATATAATTTATTTGAGTAAAAAAAAAGTATATTTGTCACAGAGCCTATAGTAAATCATTTATTTGAAACAAATAAAAATTTTATTCGATAAATAAAATTTTTAAAAAATTTTATTTATTGAATAACATTTTTAAGTGAACCAAATAAAATTTATTTTAAACAAATAAACAATTTAGAAGGCACTGAGTCAAATACATCTTTTTTATGGGTGAAAGTATTTAAAAAATGTATATATATAAATAAAATAACAACAAATTAATTTTTAAAATTATTTTCGAAATAAAATAATTAAATAATAAAAACAATAAAAAAATTACCAATAATCAATATTAATTGACAAAAAATAAAGAAACAAAAATTATAAAAAAATTTAAACAAAAAAGTAGTGTAGGTACAAATAAAATTAATTTCTAATTAATCGCGAGTATAAGAATTTCTAAGGAAATGTAATTCATCGGTGCGTTTATATGGAATATTTCTATATTAGGTAAAGAATATGTGATTAAAAAAAAGTGAAGTAATTGACATGATATATGTGAAAGAGTTGTTTAATTAAGAACTAATTATTTTTTCCCCCCCAAAAAAAAAAACATTTGATCGCCATAAATCAGGAAAACGGAATCTCCTCAACATCTAACAATAAAGATGTATGAGGTTTTTATTTATATATCAATTTATAGTTTTATTCCATGCGTTTGAAATCAATTCAATATATAAATATTACGTGCCTATTATTAAAAATTTTAATTCTTCTTCCTTCCTGAAACTAAAATTTTTTTTAGCGTATTAATTTTTCCGCAAAATTCATATCATTTTTCTCTCGCAAAAAAAAGTGCGCTAGCACTCTCGCTATTACGATAATAATTATTCAGCCTTGTCAAAAAATTTCAATCTCCTTAAATATTCAATCGACGTTTTCTGTTCTACAAAATTATTATTAACATTTTTTTATTTATTATTAATATTTCTATATTTATTATTAATATTAATTAATGATTTTTATATTTTAAGTATTATTGGAATAGTAGGTAAAAAAGTACACGAATACATTGAGACAAGTGGTTTTTTAATACAAAAATTGTTTTTATAAAATTCTTCGTAATAATTTAATTTATTTTCATAAAGGAGTTTACGCAGGGATTGAATTATTTTCGTAAATTATAAAATTATGCTTTGGAATTGAATTATTTTCATAAATAAAAAAGCTCATCGCAGAATAATCAATTATTTTTAATACAATTTTAATTCAATTGGCTGAAAAATGTAATTATTCTTAAAAATTTTATTAATATTCGTTGAAAGAATTCAATTATTTAAAAATTTGTTGATAAAATTCTTTACGGGAATTGAATTTTAAGAAACATTCAATTATTCAATAAATGATTTAATTTTGTATTTAAATAATTTAATTCTGGTAGATGTAGAATTTTCTAATAAAAATTTATTTATTAGAGATGAATTTCAGTTAAAATTTTAGATAATATTTTAATATTAGAAGCTTTATAGAATGAATTTTTAGAAATAATTGAATTTTGAAAATATTAATTTTAATTAACAACTAGCAACGATTCGCGCACTAAAGCGCGCGGCTAACTTCTTACTGCCTTTTTTTAAAATAAAATTAACAATTTTAAAAATAATAGAATTTAAAAATTTTCTAATTTAAATTTTTGTTAAAAACACTAAAAAATTGCAGAAATTCAATTATTTAAAAAAAAATAAAATTCAACTATGTTCAAAATTTGAAAAAAAAATTCTTGTAAAAATCCCAATTATCATTATAAATAACAAAATTCTTCTCCAAAGTTCAATTATTTTCATGAATGTCAAAAGAATTCTTGTCATAATTTCAATTATTTTCAAAAATTTCTCTAATTTCAATGATTTTTAATATCTACTATTTTAATAAAATTTCCCAAAACGAATTCGATTATTTTAAAAAAAATTTTAATAAAATTGTATGCAAACATTTAATTATTTTCATAAATAACAAACATTTTACAGGAATTCAATTATTTTCATAAATAATAAAATTTTGTTAAGGAATTCAATTTTCATAAAAAATAATTTAAAATTCTATAAAACAATAATTGAATTAAAATGATGAAAATAATTTTGATGAAGTTACAGTAAAATAAAATTCTTATAATAAAAAATAATGATTTTATCTCTCGGTCATCTTTAATTATTAGAAAACATGAAGAAATCGATCACTCCGAGTCTTCGACTCGGAGCAATCGATATCTTCATGTTTTATAGCAAATACTTTTATAAATTGTTTAATTTAAAAAAGGTTTGAATTTGAAATTTTTGAATTTGTTAATTTCTGTGGAAAATCCTGTTCCAAAAATAATATTAAAAATAGAAATTGTGCAAATTTCTTCTTTTTCTAAACCCAAATAATAAAATTTCTAGTTTTTATTTACTGATATATTTAATTGAAGAAATCATTTTTTTTTTTTTTTTTTTTGAAAAATGGCCGTTGGGAAAATGGGTTTGAGAAAAGTATTAAATAAAAATACAGAAATAATGTAAACTGAGGATAAAACGAATTATGATATAATTTTATCTATTTGTTTTACCTATTTTTCTATTTATTCTTAATTTGATTTTCATTTTCGTTTTTATTTCCTTTACTACAATTTTTATTTTTTAATTTAATTCAATTAATTAACTTAATTTTTCTATCTTCATTAACACATTTTATTAATTTAGTATTTTATATTTTCAGTTACTAACTCCAAATGTTACATTCCAATTTTTGGCTAAATTTTTAATTCCTTCGACATGTATTGTAAAACTTTTTATTTATTGGTAAGTTATATTTATTGTTTCTTTTTTTCTTTTGTTTTCATCAGTTTTCATTTTTATATTCATTTTAATTTTAATATTGTATTAAGTTCATTTTGGTTCCATAAGGAAAAATTTGATGTTTTTAAATTATTATTTAAAGTCTTCGTGTATTCTAATTATTGTTTTCTGTATTATTATTTTATTTATTATTTAAAGTTTCAAAATTATTATTAAACGTCTTCGTGTTTTATTTTCAATTTTTGTTTTCTGTTTTATTATTTTTATAGACTCCCTGAAGAAGAAATCGTATTGCTTTCGAAAAGTTGGAGTAATTTTTGTATTTAAAAAACACTCGGACGTAATAGTTTGTTTAATATTTAAATATTATTATTGAATTATTATTATTTATTAATTGTTACTTTTAAAAAAAAAGAATATTGCAGCAAAATGTTAATTCAATGTTGCCAGGAGATATTTAAAAAGTTAAACAATTTTTTTTTTTTTTTGATGAGATTTCTTTTTAATTGAAGATGCTATAAAATTCTAATATAAAAATAGATGCTTTGGAATGGCATCTTTATATATGAATAAGGAATTGAAATTTTGTGACACATACGACGTCGTCCTTGTGAGATTGTCTGCTCCATTTATCGGTTTCGCAACCCTACACTTAGAGAATACAACGAAATGCTCTTGATCATTAAGATCAATGCATCATTTTCGATTTCTCTCAATATAATCTCTCATAGGTGACATTGAATTAAAATACCACAGCAAAGATAATAAAAAGAAATACAAATAATAGAGCAAATCAAGTTCAGATCGAGCGATTAAAAGAAATGCGATACAATTATAAAGATAAAATTCTGCAGTCGCATAATATTACTGCAATTTTTATGTAAGTTTACATAGAAATAGTGCCTGAATATTTAGTCAACGTTGCACCTTCAATATTAAAATATTAAAGGTAATATTATTTTTGTGTTTAGATTTATCTTGATTAAAAGTTCTTTTTTTAATAATGTAAATTTTGAAACCAATTTTTATTGAATATTTTGGATGTAATAAAGATTTGAACTTGAATAATTTATAATAGTAATCGATACTCTTTCTGTATTTTTACTCCAAAAATTATAAACATAAATAAATTATAAATTATTTATAAAAATCTAAAATATGTAAATAAATAAATAAACAATAAATAAATTATAAATAAACTATTATTTTTTTACTATAAACAATTATCAGTTAGTTGAAATAAAAGTATTTTTGACAACACAAAAACAGTTCGAAATATTTTGCTTATTAATAGTTGGTAAAATTAAAGGCAATTTACTTATAGTTTAATTGAGGCAAATAACAGTCATTATACAAAAGTTAAGCTTTTTTCTAATTCCTTAATTGAAAAAAAAATTTTTTAACAGCTTTAAAGAAACATATTTTACGTCCTATAAACCAACATATATATTTTTTTTACTTCACTTTTAAGAAGAATTGTTAGTTTTCATTTTCAAATAAAATATTTTCAAGTTTATTCAAATAGTCTTGTAGACTAATTTAAATATTATGTTTATTATATGGACGTTCATTGATCCGTGCAAGAAAATCATTTTACGGATTATTATTATTATTCTACCTATATATAACTTTTAAGATTCAACTTTTCAGCTAATGAAATAAGTAATGCGCGAAATTTAATAATCTACATATTGTAGACGATTTGGTGAAAGAATACGAAAATTGTTATTTTTTTTTTCTTCAAAAGTTACAACAGGAAGTTGAATTTTAACAATGAATAATGAATTATGTATATGCAACTTTAAAGGAAGTCATACTTCACTTCATGATGATACCATTTTAGTAATACTTTATTCTCTGAGAAGAGAAGAATGAATTTTAATCTTTTAATTGCTCAATAATAAAATTGAAAAGTAGAAAAAAAAACAAAAATTTTTTATAAAAATGAGTAGGAAATTATTTATTTTTATATTTTCATTTAACTTTCGATGATTTTAAATATTTGCTAATTTTCTTTAATATTCTTTGATAATTTTATGTACTTGGTATTTTTTCATAATATTTATACTTTAAAGAAAATTATAAATATTGTAATAAACATTATGAATATTAAACCTAGAGAAATGTTTCACAATCAGAAATAATTTATTTGAGTAAAAAAAAGTATATATTTGTCACATAGCCTACTAAATTATTTGTTTGTTTTAAATATAAATTTTATTTTAGCACAAATAAAATATTTGTCTGAACCAATAAAATTTATTTGGAAGAAATAAAAATTTTAAAAATCCATTTTTAATAATAATTACAATTCGAAAGACTTGGTGACAAAAAGTCAGTTGCAGAAGTCAATTGCAAATAATATTGGACAACTTTTTATAAACAAATTTAAAAAATAATTTATTGTGATAAATATAGAATAAAATATCGATTTCACAAATGTGCACGAAATGTTTAAAAATGTATTTCCAACACAACAGGAAAAACGTGTGTTATATTCAAGTATTCTTTTCACATTTTTTTTTTTTTTTTTTTGAATTTAAAAATTATAAACAAATTGCAATTTACAGTTTTATCTTTCAACTATATGCGTATAATAAAAAGGTTCTAAAAAATAGACTAAATTAATAAACAAATCTTCAATTGTGCCTTTAATTTGTAAATTTCATTAGTGTAAATTTTATTTTAAACAATTTATTAGAAACGAAAATATATAAGTTTATTTTGTCTCCCCTCTGCTATTCATCATAACTTATTTATTATTATTATACCAATTATTGTAATTTATTTATTAATTAAATTTTCAATATTTTAGTTCTTTTATTCAAATTCTTTATGAGTTAATAATGAATAAGCAAACATATAACAAAATAATGTTTTATATTTTCAGTAAATAAAAAATAGAATATAAATTTCAATATAAAATAAATTAACAAATAATTTGTTAAATATATGTTTCGATGTAATAAATGAATTCATATATTGATGAATTCTTTGAAAATAAAACAAATTTTAATAAATTATTTGCAAATAAAACAAATGTTAATAAATTATTTGCAAATAAAACAAATATTAATAAATTATTTGCAAATAAAACAAGTATTAACAAATTATTTACAAACAAAACAAATATTTATTGGTTATTTACAATTAAAATATTTGTTGATAAATTTAGAAATAACAAAATTGTTAAAATTCTTAAACTATTTAATAATTATTAATTAATAAATTATTGTTTTAATCAAAAATTTATATTAAAAAATTAATAATTGTTTTAATCAATACTTTATATTAAAAAATTATTAATTGTTTCAATCAAAACTTGATATTAAAAAATGACAAATAGAAATAAAAATAGTTGCAATATGATCAGTTTTTTTTGGAAAAGATTCTTTAATAAATATATTATTTTTGCTGAACATTAATTACGAATTAAGACTTAGATCATGATTGACAAAGAAATTATTCTCATCTGTCATAGAAATAAAATCATTAATAAATTATATTCTGAGCACGCTTTATTGATTTTTCCGACAATATCACTTCATATACAATGAGTAATTGCATTTTATTGTTATCACTTTGAGTAGTATTTTTCAAATTTTTTTTCTGATATCATAATGTCTTCCTTCAACATATAATAACAATTTAATATCTAAATACTAACTATTTAATTATAATTTTTTTTTACTTTAAAATTTTTTTTAATCTATTATTTTTTTATTATTATTTATTATTATTATTAATTTCGTATTATTATTTATTTATTAAATTTTATTTTTCAAACATTGTTTTTATAATAAATAAAGATAAAAAATTTAATATTTTATATTCTTTACAAAAAAATAACAAAAATAAAGAGGAACTAGTTTTTATTTTTAAACAAGTAATTCAAAAACATTTTCTATAAATTTTCCATTATTATAGCTTGAAAAATAATATATTTATTTATTTTCATTATTTTTATTTTTTTCATTATTTTTTAATCAATCAATTTGATTAATTACTTAATTTTGTTGATTTTAATAATATTAATATTATTGATTTAGTTTATTAATAGAACTTTTAAACAAAAAGATTATTGTTTTTTTAATAATATTCTCCGAATTTAAATTAGTAAAAATGTTTACTAATTAGAATTAGTGACTGACTTTTTGCTTTTGAATTAGTAAATTTTACTAATAAATAGTTTCGAATTTTAATTTTCTAATTTCTACTAATTTTTTAGTAAAATTTACTAATTCAAAAGCAAAAAATCAGTCACTAATTCTAATTAGTAAACATTTTTACTAATTCAAATTTAGAGAGATAGTTCATTTTTAATCAAAACGTATCATTCATGACAAAATTTTTATTTTTTTTTATTAAAAAACAATTTTAAATAGTCTTTTTAAATAATTAATAATAATTAAGAACTAATAATAATTAATTATAAAATAATGATAATCAACAGAGAATTAATAATAGTTAATTAAGAAATAATAATAATTAATTAAAAAATAATAATTAACGAAAGATTAATTAATTAATTAACAATTATTTTGTTGCATAAAAAAGTAACTTGACTCACTTGCAGCAAATCCAATGTGCAGCAATCCCAATAAAAGGGACACTAGCCAAAGTCGCCCCATCCCCTAATTATTCTCCCCCTCACACTTTCCTTCACTTCCGTGTCAATTTAAATAAAATTTTAAACAACTCTCCCGAGATTAAAACCGGCGAATTACGACAAGAGTCCACACAATACAAGGTGTCACAATTCGCACAAAAATTCAAAGCTCCGGACATCGGAGCTGTTTAATTAAAAAAAAAAATTAATTTCAAAATTATAAATTTTCCCCCTTAAAAATGGTATTATTATATTAAAAAAAAAATAAATAAGGGACAATGAAAACAAAAGAAATAATTTTTTCCAAAATATTTTCTTCGAGGGATTAGAGACACCTTCGAGTTTCAGTGCGCAATTGAAACTAAACCCTCTTTGAGGTAGTTGGTGTGTTCGGCTATAGACTTAAGACTATAGTGAAACCACGGGTGCAAGATCGAATGTGAGCGTGAGCCAAAGTCACTCCCTGCCTTGAGAGATCAAGATTCCTCTCCTTCCAGGACGAACAGTAGAAACACACCGCGGCGACCGAGGTCGTCGGACCTTCCTTCCGTCACACACAATGCCGAGAAGGGGTTCAACCTGCCCCAGTTTGCTTCATTGGGACGTTCATTCGACTGTAAATTTGCCAATCAGTCCATGTACATATATATATGCTTTTCCCAGAAACAATATTGTTCCGATCTTTTTATTTCTTCTTCAAAACAAATTAAATACGAACCCTTATCGTCCTTCGCTTTTTTCCAATTAAGAGAAGAAGAGAGATTTGTTCCTCAAAATTGTTGTTGTATGGGATGGTAATAATTGACAATGATAAGGAATTTCAAATAGTCGTTGTGAGAATATTTTTGGGAAATTATTTTCTTAATTATGTACATAAAGGATATCCTAATTATTCTTTTTCTATAATTAACCTTTCTAATTAGTAGGTTATTTTAATTATATAAATAAGAGAGAAGTTTTTATTGAGGGTAGTTTTACATTTTCGAGAGTAACTTCGGAATACTAAATTTTGCGTTTTCTGTTCTAGTTTGTTCTAATCTTTGACTCTGCTTGATACTCAAAAAACTGTTCTATTACATTTAATTACGAATTTTTTTAATTATAAAATCATTCAAAAACATCAATAAATTTTTTTTCAAATAAATATTTAATCATTATTATTATTCCATAGGAATTAAGATTTTCAAAAAATTTCAAATTCAAACCTTTATGAAATTCAACAACTTATAAGAATATTATTATAAAACATGAAGATATCGATCACTACGAGTCGAAGACTCGGAGTTATTGATATCTTCATGTTTTTGTATTAATTTAAATTTACATCAAATTTTTCAAAAAAAAAATTAAATTATTTTAAAAAATTTTAATAAAATCCTTCCCAAGAATTTAATTAATTTTACAAGTAATAAAATTTTTCATATGAATTCAATTATTTAAAAAAATTTAATAAAATCCTTCCCAAGAATTCAATTATTTAAAAAAATTTAATAAAATTCGTTCTAAGAATTCAATTATTTTCAAAAATAATACAATTTTTCATAGGATTTGAATTGTTTTTAATACAATTTTAAATAAATTCCTCAAAAAATTTAATTATTTTCAAAATTTTTTTGCAAGAATTCAATTACATTTCACAAATATGAAATTCTTCGCTGAAATTCAAATATTTTCAATATCTACTATTTTTATAAAATTTCTTAAATGAATTCAATTTTTAAAAAAAAATGCAATGTAACGCGTTGCAAGAATTCAATTATTTTCATAAATAATACAATTCTTTACAGAATTTCAATTATTTAAATAAATGTAATAAAAATTCTTTACAAGAATTGAATTATTTTCCTAAATAATAAAATTCTTCACAGGATTTCAATTATTTTTAATACAATTTTCAGTAAATTCTTCGAAAAATGTAATTATTTTCAATAATATTCAAAAATCAATTATTTTTTAAAATTCATGCTATAATTTCTTTAAATATTCAATTATAATCTAAAATTTTAACTGAAATTCATTTTTAAATCAATTGTTATTAGAAAATTCTACGAGAATTCAATTATTTAAATACAAAATTAAATAATTTATTGAATAAATGAATGTTTTTCAAAATAGAATCCTCGTAAAGAATTTTATCAACAAATTTTTAAAAAATTGAATTTTTTCGACGAATTTTAATAAAATTTTCAAGAATAATTACATTTTTCGAGAAATTCGATTAAAATTGTGTTAAAAATAATTGAAATTTAATGATTTGTTTTATGATTCATGAAAATAATTGAATCTCGGTAAAAATTTTATTATTTATGAAAATAATTTAATGTTTGCTTTAAATTTTATCAACCATTTTTTTAAATAATTGAAATGTTTTGAAAAATTTTATTTTAAAGTAGTAGATATTGAAAATAATTGAATTGATAAGATTATTTGAAAATAATTGAAATTTTGTCATGAATTTTATTTAAAAATAATTGAATTCTATTACTTTTTAAAATAATTGACTTCTTGCTAAATGAATACTATTATTTATGAAAGTATAATTAAATTTTGCAATTAATTTTATTAAAATTCCTGAAAATAATTGAATTTTGCTATTATTCATTTATAAACATAATTGAAATGTTGGCAATTTTTTTAGAATTTTTTGAAAATAATTGAATTTTTTTTAACAGGATAAATTGATTAGTTTTAAAATGAAGAAGTGATAAAGATTTTAAAAAAATTTAGTCAAGGTTGGCCCTTATAGTGAAGGTCGGCCCATGTTTGAAATTCAAAGGGCATTACCGTTGAAACTAACGACTAACAAATTATTTAAACACAAAAAAGTAAATTATTTATTGAATAATTGAATGTTTCTTAAAATTTAATTAAAGAATTCTTTTGACGAATTTTAATAAAATTTTTTAGAATAGTTACATTTTTCAAGGAATTTGATTAAAATTGTATTAAAAACGATTGAAATTCTGCGATAAGTTTTATTATTTCTAAAAATAATTAAATTATTGAGAACAAAACTTATAAAAAATTTGTAAATATTTGAATTCCTGTGAAATTTTTATTATTTATGAAAATAATGAAATGTTTGCGTACAATTTCAAAACAAAATTGTTTTGAAATAATTTAATTCTTTTGCGTAATTTTATTAAAACAGTAGATATTGAAAATAATTGAAATGAGGAAATTTTTTGAAAATAATTGAATTTTGAAGAAGAATTTTTTTACTTATAAAGATAATAATTACGATTTTGTCTAGACTTTTTTTTGTAAATATTGAACATAATTGAATTTTGTAATAAGAATTTTATTACTTTTGAAAATAATTGAATTTCTGTAAAAAATATTATTTATTAAAAATGTTGAATTATTCCGAAGAAATTTATAAAAAATTGACAAATAATTGAATTCCTGGGAAATTTTTATTAGTTGTGAAAATAATTAAATGTTTGCATAAAATTGTATCAAAATTGTTTTTTTAAATAATTGAATTCTTTTAGAAAACTTTATAAAGATAATAGATATTGAAAATCATTGAATTCAGAAAAATTTTTGAAAATAATTCAAATTTTGCCAAGAATTTTATTGAAATTTTTGAAAATAATTGAATTTTGGAAAAGAATTTTATTACTTTTAAAAGTAATTGGATTTTTTACGAGAATTAAAAAAAAGTTTAAGAACATAATTGAATTTCTACGAAGAATTTTATTACTTTTGAAAATAATTGAATTTCTGCGAAGAATTTTGTTCGCTTTTGAAAATAATTGAATTTCTGTAATCATTTGTAACTTCTCTAAAATTCAATTTTTTTAGTGTTTTTAACTAAAATTCTTCTATAAATCCATAATTTTTAATAATTAATTAAATATATATTAAAAAATTTAACTAATTTCAGAAGAATTAGAATTATTAAAATTTTTCAAAAATCTAAGTTCTTCAAAATTTCTAATTAAATTTATTGAAAATTCAAATGTTATAAAACTTCAAATTAAAACCTTTTAAAGTTAATCTATTTTACAAAAGAATTGTAAACGCAGCTCTTTTAAAATTCAATTAATTTTGAAATATTTAAGTAACATTATTCATTAAAAATTTTTAAGTAATGTTTTTATGATAGTTCTTCAAGATTTAAGTTATTTAAAAAGAAATTTTTGTCAGGAATAGAAAAAATTGAAAGTTTTGTATTAGAATTCGTGGTAATTTCATAGTTTATAAGACAAACAAAAAAGACACCAAAAATCAAAATTTTCTTATGAATTCTAAAAATTTAATTTTTCCCAGTACTTTTCCTGACTTTTTCCTGAATTCCCTGAGCTGTGGCAACCCTGAGTATAGAACAGAATAACGCAGTAACTGAAGCACAACTGATACAAGAAATTAGTACGAGACACTTTTGATATTTTTTTAATCAAAATTCAAATTGTAATTAAATACTCTATTTTTTAATCAAATTTGAATTGTAATTAAATTCTCTATTTTTATAGAGTACTTAAATGTAAATATTTTTGTAAAAATTTCTCAATAACACAAACTATTAGTTTAACTAGCCAAACTATCCGCGCGCAAGCGCGCGGGAATGTTGTATGGGGCTGCTTATTTTAAACAATTTAAAAAATTTTAAAGAAATAATTATTATAACCTAACAAAGAGATTTAACTAACTAAAATTCAAATAATTTCACTCAATGGTCTCAATTTAAATAGAATTTACATTACTAGACTTAAACTATGGCTAGAACAATTACAATTAGTATCTGGGTCATCTTTTGCATTGCTTATTTTATAAAGCCATTTTAAATTAAATACTTTTTAAAGAAATAATAATTATTACACACTGAAAAAAGTTTTACTTGAAATAGCGATAAGTTTCTCTAGAATAACGAAAGTATTAATTGAAGCACTGAAAAATTTCGCTACTAAAGTGAAATCTGTAGTTCATCCAGCTAAATATTTTTTGCCGTGCATAACGAAAAAAGAATTAAATTAACATCAGATTTTCTACATTAAAAAAAAACGAATTCAAATAGAAATTAATCATTTTACAAATTAACCAAATTCACCCCAGAAATCACTGAATTCGATAATTTAGAAGAAAGTCAGACAAAAGCAGGGTTCCTACAGAATCTGGAAATCAGGGAAATCATGGAAAAGGCCTGGAATTTTTAAAAGTTTCTAAATTTTTTCAGTTTTCCATTTTTTCTCTTGAATAAAAATTCAAAATATAAAAAAGCTAAATGTCATAAAAGAAAAGAAAAAACAAAGAATTTTAAGAAATTCGATTTTTCGGATTTTTGATAATTTTTGATAATTTTAGATTTTTTACAAAAGAGTCGAGACAATTTAATAAGTAAAGTATTTTCCAAAAGCACAAAAATAATGAAGCTAAATCCCATAAAAGAGAGGAAAAAATGTTGAATTTTAAGAA